TCCCAAAACTGAATCAGGAAGAATTAGAAAACCTGAATAGTCCAATAATGACTGATGAAATAGAAGCAGTAATAAGAAAACTTCCATCAAACAAAATCTCTGGTCTGGAGGGCTTCACAGGGGAGTTTTACCAAATCTTCAAAAACAACTAACACCTATCTTCCTCAAACTATTCCAAAAATCCAAGAGGAAGGAACACTTCCAAGCTTTTTATACTAGGCCAGCATTATCTTAATTTCAAAACCAAATAAAGACACTATGAAGAAGGAGAATTACAGGCCAATATTCCTGAAGAACATAGATTCTAAAATCCTGAACAAAATATTAGCAAATCATATCTTCAACGTTCTAAAAGGACCACACACCATGACCAAGTGGGATGTATTCCAGGGATGCAAGGCTGCTACAATATTCACAGATCAATAAATATGATGTATCATATATACAAATTAAAAGTCAAAATCACATGGTCATATCAATAGATGCACAAAATCCAACACCCATTTTTTTATAAAAACTCTGAGCAAACAGGAATAGACGGATCATATCTCAAAATCATAAAGGCCATATATGGCAAACCTACAGCCAACATAATTCTCAATGGGCAAAAACTAAATCCATTTTCCCTAAGAACAGGAACAAGACAGGGATGTCCACTTTCACCACTCTTATTCAACATAGCACTGGAAGTCCTACCCTCAGCAATCAGACACGAAACAGAAATAAAAGGTATCCAAATTGGAAAGGAGGAAATAAAACTGTCATTATTCACAGATGACATGATATTGTACATAGAAAACCCTAAAGACTCCATCAAAAAACTTCTATATTTAATAAAGGAATTCAGCAATGTAGCAGGATACAAACTTAACACACAGAAATCCATGGCATTTTTTGCACAAATAATGACTTTTCACAAAGAGAAACAAAGTGAACAATCCCATTTATCATTGCAACAAAAAATTAAGATACTGAGGAATAAACTTAAACAAGGAGTAAAATACTTGTACTCAGAAAACTGCAGGACGTTGAAAAAAAGAA